TCGGGGCTGGGAAATTGGCTCAGTGGCAGAGTGCTTGCCTTGCATGCCTGAGGCCCTGGGTTCAATTCCTCAGTACCACATAAGCAAAAAGAAAAAAGCCAGACGTGGTGCTGTGGCTCAAGTGGTAGAGTGCTAGCCTTGAGCTGAAGAACTGAGGGACAGTGCCCAAGCCCAGAGTTCAGGCCCCACGACTGGACCCCAAAAAAAAAACAAAAACAAAAACCAAAGCATCTGCCAGGCACCAATGTCTCATGCCTAGCTACTCAGGAGGCTGAGGTCTGAAGATCACAGTTCAAAGCCAGCCTAGGCAGACATACCTGTATGATATTTATCTCCAATCAGCAAGCAAAAAGCCAGAAGTGGAACTGTGGTCCACACAATACTTGCCTTAAGCAGAAATGGCCAGGTAAGGGGTCAAGGCCCTGAGTTCAAGCCTCAGTACAAACCCACCTTTTCCCTCCCCCAAAAAAAGATTAGAAACAAAACCAAAACTGCCATTCTGTTCAAATTATGTGATTTTTCTATGGAGCAAATTGAAAAGGATAGGCAAATTATTAGACACAGTATCAAGATACCTGTTTTCTATTGCTCTGTAACAAACCACCCCAAAATTGAGCAACTTAAAGCTAAAATAACTTCATTGGCTTGCAGTTCTTAGTAACAGTGGTTTGGGCTGGTTTCAAAACAGGCAGTTTATTTACTGCTGCTGCCTGAGGTCATGTATGACTATCATCCAACAGCTTGATTTGGGGAGCTGAATGTCTAAAATGGCCTCATTCATATGTCGGGTGACTGATGCTGGCTGTTGGCCAGGAGGCTTCGGAATTCTCAGCTACTCTAGTTTATCTCAGCTCCCTGGGGCTAAAACAAGCATCTCCCCATGGAAGTATCCAAGAAGTCACTCAAAAGGCCACAGTAAAATTTCAAGACCTACTAAAAGCTTAGTCTTAGGAATTCTGCAACATGACTTCTACCAAAGCAATTCACAAGGCCAACCCAACCTCAAAGGGCTGATGAATCCATTTTCTTCTTCATGAGAGAGAAAATGAACTCCCCAAGGGACAAGCTTAAAGGGATAGTGGGAATTATTGCAACTAACTTTGCAACTAATTTTCAATGTAAGATATAATACATTAGCTTAAAAATACATTCAAGGATCTATAGAGAAAATTACAAAAATGTATTGAAAGGCCATGAAAACTTGAAGAGGTATTCATGAATAAGACTGTGTTGTAAGATGTTTGTTCCTTCTTATGCATTCAATCCATTTTTTTAATTGCACAGTTTTCAAGGAACTTTATAAGACTCCCAAATAGCCAAGACACACTTAAAAGTGAAAAGGAGAAAATAAGGGCTGGGAGATGTGTTTCAAGTAGTAAAAGCACAAGATTCTGAATTCAATCCCTACTATTGCTGAAGGAGGAGGAGGAGGAGGAGGAGGAGGAGGGGGAGGAGGAGGGGGAGGAGGAGGGGGAGGAGGGGGAGGAGGGGGAGGAGGAAGAGGAGGAGGAGGAGGAGGAGGAGGAGGAGGAGGAGGAGGAAAGTGTGATTTCTGCTCAACTTATTTCAGATCCCACAAGAATCATCCTTTTCACCCTGTCAGCTTGACCAACAGGAGACACAGGAAGCCAGAGAAGCCAGCAGTCAGAGGTGAAGAGAAATTTCCTGTAAAGATCGTGCCAAAGAGTGTCTGGTCCTTCTCCTCTTTCCTCCCTCTTACAAACAACTAAAGAGGAGTTACTCACAAAAACACAAAACACTAGAACTAGGGTTACAAAAGGCAGTGTTTAGACTGGTCACTGGGCCTGAAATAACACAGGGAGCAGAGCTCATCCATCTACATCATCCCCAATGACTCATACTTTTGGCTTTTCCTTACTTTGTAGAAATGAGACAGTCAGTGTACTGTTGGACCAGGTTGCTGGAAATGTGTACTGGCACCTCTAGGAGCCATCCAGAAGTCCCTTGTTGGAAAGTCCCATTGGCGATCATGCTCATCACTGGTACCCAGGCTGCTTGGAGGGAATAAGAGTTCTAAAGTCATACAGATTTGTCGGAACGGCTGCCCCTCTCCAATCCCCTCCAGTTCTCAGTACTTGGATCTTCTGAGTCTGTTAATGGGGAGAGGGTATTCCAAAACTAACTCCAGGCATGGGGCATGAGGCTGTGGAGTAGGGTCTCTCCTTTAGCTGATGTAGACTCTGGGGCTCCATTCCCAAAGCATGATGTGAGCATCTCTTCTTCACTGTTTAACTGTCCAGTCTGAAGACAGTTCCTTTGTGACTAGCCTCTTCTCCCTTGGGGGGAGATTAACCATCATTCTGAATCATACAGATGTGAGTAAAACCAAATCAACATCACAATAATAGCAGAGAAGTTGCAGCCTCCCCAAGTACAGTCTAGAAGCAGGAGAGACCAAAGAAGGACTGCTCACGATAACATAATATAGAGTCCGGCTACTCCTGCATTTGGGAAAGCCCAAATTGGCTGTGTAGGGGGTCAATCTACTTGCCCTATCACATCCTTTCCGGTCGCTTCCTCAGCTGACCTCAGTATCCAAATGTTAAATAGATCCTCTTCAGTCTGACCCCACAGATCCTTCCCTTTAATCACTTCTGTACTTTGTGGGTCACAAATGGATCTATTTCAGGTCATGAATTTGGTCACCACCCTCCACGCTTTTGCTGTTTTTGTTGCATGTGTGTGTGTGTGTGTGTGTGTGTGTGTGTGTGTGTGTGTACTAGGTCCTGAACTCAGGGCTTGGGCACTGTCCCTTAGTTTTTTCACTCAGATTTTTTCCCTCTACCACCTGAACCACAACTCCACTAGTGGCATTTTGGTAGTTGATTGGAGATAAGAATCTCATGGACTTTTCTGCCTGGGTTGAGGGATCCACAGATCTCAGCCTCCTGAGTAGCTAGGATTACAGGTATGGGGTATAAGATTACAACCAGAGCCACCAGTGCTTGGCCCATTGTGTGTTTTTGAAACAGGACCTAGGCTGGTCTCAATCTCACTATCCTCCTCAAAGTTTCCATTTCCCAAGGGCTGGATTACAGGTTTGCATCCCCATACCTGGCTGCATTTCCACTTCTAAAATCCCATAGTCTATCTTCTGATTCCAATTCCTGCCCTTCCAATTTGGTCACGCTAGTCCATTCCCCCCATCTAGTCTTTATCCCATAAAACTCCCCATTTTGCAGAGATCATGATCTGATTTCTGTTCTAATGGGGTGTTGGTCTCAGTTCCAGGGGAAAGGGGGAGGAGGAATGCAGGAAGCCTCCCACTTGAGAGGCTGTTAGAACTGTGTCTGGACCTCAACCCAGCTGGGAGGGGGAGGAAGGGAGGGAGTCAGCGAGGTTAGGGGCCCAGCAGAGAAACAGGCCAGAACAATTGAGAACAAAGGCTGGATACTCTTCCGCTGAGCCCCAGAGCTTGGCCTTGGCCTTCTGTGAACAGCTTCAGGAAATGGCTGAGATTCCAGATTTAGAAGGAAGAGACCTGTAAACAAGGACTAAAGCTTTGTGAGCAGAGAGCAACCCCTCCAGACTACGAGGAGGCTCTGGCATGACAGGCTGAGATCTGGGATCTCAGAACTGGAAAGGTCCTTCACTCTTTTCCAGAAGCAGAAAAATAGCCCCAAGGAGGAGGCACAAATAGTTTCAGTGAAGGGATGCATCGGAGAAACAAATAGAACAAGCTAACCTTGCACTTATAATCAAGCACTGTCTATATGAAGTCCTTTTTATGTTTTATCTCATTTCATGACGATGATAGCCCTTGAAATAGAATTTACTTTAGCATTCTCATTCTACAGATAAGGAAACTGATTTGTAGGGTTAAGGAATCTAACCAAAGTCTCCCAAAAGCTTTCTTCCCTCTCTCTGAGCAGAATACACACATGCAGTGGGAATCTCCCAGTTTGGCCCCAAGGTCTGAGTCATTCCCATCTTTTGCCCTCCCCACCCCCAACCTCATCTGTCCCTAGGGAAAGAGACCAATAACTGATCCACGGCAGCACTTTCCCACTTAGCATTCTCAGCCTGCAGCCCTACTGCCCTCCATTCTCAGCTTATTCCTGCTGTGCCCTGAGCCTCAGCATCTCTACTCTGCCTTAACAGATAGTCATCCAGAGGCAAAACAATAAGGACTGAGGTTCAAGGAGAAGCTTTCCATAGAGTGTTAGGAGTGAACAATTAAGAATACAGGTGGAGTTACAGTCAATATGAACCTCCCCTTTCAACAACAACAACAAAACAAACCCAAACTGGTGGCTCACACCTCTAATCCTAGATACTCAGGAGGCTGAGATCTGAGAATCATGGTTTAAAGCCAGTCTGGACAGACAAATCCATGAGACTTTTATTTCAGACCAGCAAAGTACCAGAAAGTGGAAGCGTGGCTCAAGAGGTGGGGGGTGCCAGAAGCCAAGAGAGAGAATGTGAGCCCCTGAGTTTAAGCCCAGCACACAAAACAAGAAAGAAGAAGGGAGGAAGAAAGAAGAAAGGAAGAAAGGAAGGAAGGAAGAAAGAAAGAAAGAAAGAAAGAAAGAAAGAAAGAAAGAAAGAAAGAAAGAAAGAAAGAAAGAAAGAAAGAAAAAAGAAAGGAAGAAAGGAAGGAAGGAAGGAAGGAAAGATAGTTCCAGACTAGCCCAGTATAGTAATACATGCCTATAATGGCAGTAGACAGGAGATAAAAGCAAGAGGATCATGAGTTCAAGACCAGGCCTGGGCTATTTAGTGAGTTCCAGGCCAGACTGTCCACACAGCAAGACTCAGCCCACCCCCTTAAAAACAGAAAGAAAAAGAAATCTCAAACTAGGCTGGAGGCAAACAGTACAGCAGGGGTTATGGCTAGAAGGGTAGAGGTCAGAGAATTTCTCACCTCTGGTCTCCTCCCAGTTCTCCAAGGCATTGAGGGCTAGGCAGGAAGCATCCGTTTCCTCAAAGCCGCTTCCCTACTGGGACAGAGTCTCAGTCACAAACAACTACCACCACCCCACCCCACCCCTCCTTTCCTTGCTGCTGTGAGCTCAGAGTCACTGGACAAAGTGCCTGCGACTGGGTCGGAGGCCTGGGAGCAGCGATGGGCTCTGGAGGTGTGGGCCTTCCCAGGACCTGGGGGCCTCTACCTCTCTGGCTTCTGTTCATCATGGGTAAGTGAGGCTCCTTTGCTTCCTTTTTGAAGTTGGGGTACCAGAGATTGTATTATTGTTGCTGTTGTTGAGTGATGGATGATGATGATGCTAATGATGGTGTGTGTGTGTGTGTGTGTGTGTGTGTGTGTGTGTGTGTGTGTGTGTGTGTGTGAGTGAGTGAGTGACAGAAAGAAAGAGCTATCTAAGCTCTGGCCTTCATGTTGTACATGCTGACTTCTCCCCTCCCAGCTAGCTTATTATTTGGAATCAGCCTTCAGTAGCCCAGTACAGGCCATCAGACAATCTCCCACACCAGAGAGAGAGGAGGCACGGGGCAGTGACTTAGGGGCCTGTGGTGCTCAGACCAGGCTCTGTCTCCTTTTTCCTCTCAGGAGGCATGTCTCAGGATTTCCCACCCCAGATCCTAGTTCATCCCCAGGACAAGCTGATCCAGGGTCCCGGCCCCATCAAGCTGAACTGTCAAGCATCAGGACAGCCTCCTCCCACCATCCGCTGGTTGCTGAATGGGCACCCCCTCAGCATGGTGCCCCCAGATCGCCACCACCTCTTACCTGATGGAACCCTTATGTTACTGAAGCCTCCTGTCCAGGGACAGGCCCACGATGACCAGGCCCTGTCGGCAGTTCTGGGTGTCTACACATGTGAAGCCAGCAACCAGCTGGGCACAGCAGTCAGCCGAGGTGCTCGGCTGTCTGTGGCTGGTGAGGCCTAGGAGGGAAGGCTCAGGCTAGCACAAACTGAGGCTGAGCCACCTGTTATTAGGGGAGGCCTGGATTGGGAACTGGGGAGGGAGAGCAGGGTTTGAGCCATTGCTACCTGGCAGGCCTGGGAAGTGGGCAAAGTAAAATGGGGGAGGGAGGGAATGTGCCAGGAAATGCCAAGGTAGAACTCTGGGTCCCAACTTCCTACCTACTTGCCATCTTCCCCACAGTCCTCTTAAAGAATTTCCAGATCCAGCCTCAAGATGCAGTGGTGACAGTGGGTGAGCAGGTGATTCTGGAGTGTAAGCCACCTCGGGGCTACCCAGAACCCACAGTCTCATGGTGGAAGGATGGAAAACCCCTGGTCCTCCAACCAGGAAGACACAACGTGAGTGAAGCCCCCAGACCCCACATGTCATCTTGTCCTTGGCACATCTGGATACATCCTGAGGGACTGTCCTGCCCCATGGAGCCCAGGAGATTGGAGCAAGGAGGGGCAAGGAGGACTTAAACAACCCTCCAGCCTCAGAGCCCTTCTTCCCATTGAAGACTTCACCCTGTACCTCACTCTGACAGGTGTCCAAGAGTGGCCTGCTGGTGGCAAGAGCAAAGAAGAGCGATGCAGGGAGCTATATGTGTGTAGCCTCCAACAATGCGGGACAACAGGAGAGCCAATCAGCCAGGTTATCCGTCCAGGGTAAGGATGGAGGGAGGGTCCAAATTAGGTGGGACCCTCCAGTTAGGGTAGCATGGTCTAGATCCTGGTCTAGGCTAAGCCTGAGACCAGGAGCCAATTGGTAAGGTTCCCTGAGTGAAGAAACTCACCCATGCTGGAATAGAAACAGGAATGCTCGGAGAGTGTGGGTTCCTCTATTTCACATTGGGACTGTGGGTCTCATTCCAGTCCTCTGTTCCTCTATAGAGTCCAGGGACCACAAGGAGCCTCTGGAGCTCCTAGCCGTGCGCATCCAGCTAGAAAACGTGACCCTGCTGAATCCAGATCCTATGAAAAGCCCCAAGCCTGGGCCAACTGTGTGGCTTAGCTGGAAGGTGAGACTCAGGACTTACGGGTGAGAGCCTGTACAGAGCTCCAAAAACCAACTGGCATGAGCTTCCTGATCCATTCCCCTTCCTCTGACTCCTCCCTTCCCAGGTGAGTGGCCCTGCAGCCCCTGCTCAGTCCTACACAGCTTTGTTCAGGGCCCAGAGGGTCCCGGAGGGCCAGGGAGCTCCGTGGGCAGAGGCCCTGCTGGATGGTCGGCAGAGCGCAGAGCTTGGGGGCCTCCTCTGGGGTCAAGACTACGAGTTCAAAGTGAGACCATCCTCCGGTAGAGCTCAAGGTCCTGACAGCAATGTGCTGCTCCTGAGGCTGCCCGAACAAGGTCAGAGACAGATCCTCCCAGACCCAACAACAGATCCCAGATTCCATCTTTTTTTTTTTTTCTTGGTACCAGTTACTAGGTCTTGAACTCAGGGCCTCGCACTCTTGGTTAGCTTTTTTGCTCAAAGCTGACATTCTACCAACTTGAATCACACCTTCATTTTGCTGGTTAATAGAGAGTCTCACAGAGTTGTCTGCCCAGGCTAGGTTTGAACTGAGATCTTCAGATTTCAGCCTCCTAAGTAGCTAGTATGACAGGGGTGAGCCATCAGCAACTAGGCTCTCTTGACCTTTACATTGTCTCAGTCTAATCTGGGGAGATGGAAAGTCTTACTCAAGGATTCCCTTCTACCCTGGCCAGGCAAGCAGAGCTGGAAGAAGCTTCTATTATCCTCAACGGGACTCTAACTCAATAGGATGCCAGCTTTCAAGCTTAGAAAAGACTCTTCTCCCTTAGTACCCTCACAGTCTGTTTTTCCTTCCCTTCAGTGCCTAATGCCCCGCCCCAGGAGGTGACCCTAAAACCTGGGAACAACAGTGTCCTTGTGAGCTGGGCCCCACCACCTGCCGAAAACCATAATGGCATCATCCGTGGCTACCAGGTACTGTGAAGGCTGTTTGCTGACACAGCCTTTCCTGGTAGATGGCACACCTGTTGTCCTACACTCCCCCCATCCCCTGCTCTGCCCACCAAGAAGTGATACCTGTGCCAAAAAAGGAAACTTAACTTCTTGTTGAGCAAGGACTGAGCATCAGCCAGACTCTGCCAAGCAATCTACCGACTCTACCATCTCATAGTCGGCCCCGAGTTATTAATTAACCCTCTTTATACCTGCAAAGTGAAATGAACATCATAGACAGAAGAAACAGAACCAGCCATGCTAGTGTCACCTGGAAAACTTGTTGGGAATGACGATTCCCAGGTCTTCTCCCTAGGTTCTCTGAATCAGAAACTTAAACTATGAGCTTGGACACCTGTACCTTATAAAGTCTCCAGAAGAGGTTTAAGAAATTGCTGCTCCCAGGTATAGTTTAGCCTATTTCTAGACAGAAGTCAATCTAGAGAGAAATCTCTCGTAGAAGAAGGAAGGATCAGGGAAGAGAATGTCAGGTGAATGTCAGGGCAGGATGCCTCCATTCCCAGAGTCTGATCTGTAGATGAAGGGATGTTGTCTAGAGGTAGCTGATCATCTTTGCTCCTGTCCAGGTCTGGAGCCTTGGCAATACCTCCTTACACCCAGCCAACTGGACCACAGTGGGACAGCAACAGACCCAGCTGGAGATTGCCACCCGAATGTCAGGCTCCTATTGTGTGCAAGTGGCAGCAGTCACAGGGGCTGGAGCTGGGAAGCCCAGTAGCCCTGTCTGTCTCTTTTTAGGTGAGAAACGTATCTACGTGGTCATCCATATCCTTCAACCCCCATACCATCCTCCTCACTTCTAGCTCCTTCCTCTTCTCTGTTGAATGATCATTGCCCTGCCTGCCTTGCCCCTGAGCTCCACATCCCATACAGAGCAGGCCATGGAACAATCAGTCCGAGAACCCAGTGAGCAAGGTCCTTGGACGCTGGAGTGGCTGAGGGCCACCTTGAGACGGCCAGAGATCATTGCCTGTGGGGCTGTCCTGCTCTGGCTCCTGCTGCTGGGCACTGCGGTGTGTATCTACCGCCGGCGCAGAGCTGGGATGCACCTGGGCCCAGGTGAGTGAGAGGACCTCTCTGGGGCCCAGGCCTCTCCTGGGTTCCGTGAGAATATTACAAGGGGTTTAGATCTCTGACCAGAAAATGGAGCCTTTGCATTTACCCTTTCTCTCGCTTTTTCCAAGGTATGTACAGATATACCAGTGAAGACGCCATCCTAAAACACAGGTGAGAGGCAAAAAGATGTGGGGACAGGGCAGTGTGGGGTTGAGACAGTAGAATTGGGACAGGGAATTAGATGAAGTTCTAATCTACCCTACTAGTACCTGATGATGTACTAGACTTTTGAGTGACAGTGAATTTCCCTTTTGCTAACGTTCTACCATACCACTTGATGGCAGAACAAACTGAGAGTCATAGAATTTAAGTGAATTTGCCAAAGGCTTCGTAAAACTAGTAGCTGGCTTTCCAAACCCCTACCCGTGCTCTCGTACCTCCTCTCACTAACAAGACACTGCACTGTCCTGCTAGCTCACGCTGCAAGGTGAGTAGTAACCAACACAGGTAACCACTTCTAATGTCTACTTTTTCCTGAATTGCCAGCGTCTACCTAGTGCATTCTGTGAATTACTGTCTTGCATGCAATCCACCCCACTTCCGGCAGAGGGCGTCCAGACCTAGGTTCTTATCGTTTAGGTCCAGGGCCAGCCTGCATGTACTTCTGTTCTAACTTGGCTGACAAAGCAAGTCTGTGGTTGTGAAATTCTAAGAAAGAAACTTCTTTTAAAAATTTGCTGTGTTTTCCACCGAGCAGCCATTTCATTGCTCTTTCTCAACTTCCCAGATCATCGTCTGGTTAGATTTCCTAGAGTAGTTTTCACAGCCCATGTCTGAATTATTTGACAAAAGTATATCTAGCACCTAACTAAGTGGTAGTTGTAGCGAGGCCCTGGGCTGCCAGTTTGCTTTTTGATACTCAGCCCAAAGCAGGGTTCCAAGCTGGCTAGCTGGCAGAGTTTTTCTGTACTCAATGCCTTTGGTCTTCAAGCCACCTCCTGGCCTTTATCTGCTCTGCTCCCCTGGACCCTCTCCTTTGTCCTTGAGGGAAATGCAATTCTGATTATCTGATCTATTGCAATATTCTCCATCCATCAAGAAGGAGCTGTCTAGGCAGAGACAGGCATGGGAACAATCTGGAGTAGTCCATGGAAAAGCAGATGGGGGAAATGCACGGAAGAGGTCAGGTAGAGAAACATTAGTGAAAGATTGACTGTTAGGAGGGGAAGAGCGGCAGTGCAACCAGAAATAACCTGTTATGCCCAAAGACGAGCCATTTGGGTTGGATGGGGGCGTAAGCTATGAAACGGATCTGAGCAAAGATATGGTCACAAAGCTGGAAGCCAGAGTAGCCACGCCAGGCAGCTGGGCTCTATCTTGGTGATGAGGGAATGAATCATTGAAGGCTCCAGGCAAAGAAGTACCTTGGTCAGCTGCCTGTTCTTAAAAGACATTCAGACAGCTGGAAGCTAACATCCACATAGCAACCTTGTGCTTTCCCAGCTGAATGATGTCACATCCTCAGTTAGACTTACAGCATCTGCCCTGTAGGAAAGCTCTATTGTTGCCATTTTATAGAGGAGGCAATGTGGGCTTGAAACATCTAATAGATTTACTAGACTGGGCTAAGCTGTGGTAGACAGGGATTTTCAAACCAGGTCTGTTCATCACATCTGTTCCTTTTATTTTTTCTCCCCTCTGATACTGGGGCTTAAACTCAGGGCCAGGGCACTCTCCCTTAGTATTTTTACTCAAGGCTTGGAGCTCTAGTACTTGAGCCATACCTTCACTTTCAGCTTTTTGGTGTTAATTAGTGATAAGAGTCTCATGGCCTTTCCTGTCCAGGCTTTGAACTGCGGCGATGCTCCGATCTCAGCCTCCTGAGTAGCTAGCATTATAAGCATGAGCCGCCAGCTCCTGGCTCATCTGTTGTTTTTGTCTGGCTCACCTTAATCCCTTTCTGCTCTGAGCAATTTAGACTTCCCCTGATCCCTCTATAGAAGGGCTATTAAGTCAAGGCACCAACCAGGTCTGAGAACTTGAGGAATCTATGAAGGGCTGAAAGTAGCAGGAAAGATAAATCCAGTACTACCACATCCTCAACTTTCACCACCTCCCACCCCTGGTCCCTCCCCCATTACCTCAGGATGGACCACAGTGACTCTCCTTGGCTGGCAAACACCTGGCGTTCTACCTCTGGCTCTCGAGACCTGAGCAGCAGCAGCAGCCTCAGCAGCCGGCTGGGAGTGGATCCCCGGGACCCGCTAGACTGCCGACGTTCCTGTGAGCAGGCTTCATGGGGGAAGGGTCTCAGGGATGGGATGTAGGGTGGGATACTCTCACCCTAACTGCTGTCATTTTCTTTTCTGCAGTGATCTCCTGGGACCCCCGCAGTCCCGGCGTGCCCTTGCTTCCAGACACCAGTACTTTTTATGGCTCCCTCATCGCAGAGTTGCCCTCCAGGCCCCCAGCCCGGCCAAGCCCCCAGGTCCCAGCTACCAGGCACCTTCCATCCCAGTTGACCCGCACCTCCAGCCCCTGGCCCAGCTCAGACAGCCTCTGCAGCCGTAGGGGAGTCTCTTCTCCACGCTTGTCTCTGGCCCCTGCAGAGGCCTGGAAGGCCAAGAAGAAGCAGGGTAAGGACAGAGAGGAGACTCGAAATCTGGAGCTATTGATGGGGAGAAGCAAGAGTAGGAAATGTGGTGGGAATGTGGCCTGCTGGCTTTGAACTGGCGTGAGCTATGGCTCCAAAGTACCTCTTCTTGTAACACAGGCCTTTCCCCACCCAGGAGCACTCAGTCAGGAGTGTGTCCACCTCGCCTTTTCTTTCTGATGCAGGGCTCTGTTTCTACAATCAGTCCAACTAGAAAACATTGAATAACTACCACTGTATGCCAGACATGCTGAGCTAGTAAGCACAGGCAGCCCTTGTCCCCGTCTGATGAAAATACTGACCAGCATACAAGTTAATCCTAGAGCACAAGAGAAGGTGGCCGGTGCTGGCAGGAAGACCCAGGCTCATAGGGACTGGTCTTCACACATTCTACTCAGGTCTGCTTGGATACAAACTCCCAGCTCACTTCCCAGAGAGGAATGGGTAGACCTGGCCCTCCCTCCCTACAGTCATTCTTAGACTCAACCATCTGTAGGTTAAAATATATTTGGCAAAAAAAAAAAAATAGCCTTTGTACTGAACATGTACAGACTTTCTTGCCATGATTCCCTGAACACTACAATATAACTACTTATATAATGTTTAGATTAGGTATTATAAGTAATTCAGAGATGATTTAAGATGCACAGGGAGATCTGGGCAGGTAATATACCATCTTATTTAAGGGACCTGAGTTTTTGTGGATTTTAATATCCTTAGGGGATTATGGATGTAGACAAGTGGTAGAATTCACACTCAGGATAGATGAAGCCCTGGGTTCAGTTCTTAGCACCAAAAAAGAAAAGGAAGCCTCAAGTGGTAGAGTGATGGCCTAGCAAGTGCAAGGCCCTGAGTTCAATCCCCAATAATGCTAAAAGATTTTTTTTTTTTTTGGTTAGTCATTGGGGCTGAACTCTGGGCCTGGGCGCTGTCCCTCAGCTCTTCAGCTCAAGGCTAGTGCTCTACCACTTGAGCCACAGCGCCACTTCTGGCTTTTTCTGCTTATGTGGTGCTGAGGAATCGAACCCAGGGCCTCATGCATGCAAGGCAAGCACTCTACCACTGAGCCACCTTCCTAGCCCTGCCAAAAGATTTTTTAAGAACTTATTAAAAAAAAAAAACAGACAAAAAGAGCTGGGTACTGGTGGTTCACACCTGTAATACTACCCACTCAGGAGGCTGAGATCTGAGGATTGCTGTTTGAAGCCAAACTGAACAGGAAAATCCATGAGACTTTTTGCTCCAGTTAACTGCCAAAAAGCCAGAAGTAGAGCTGTGATTCAAGTAGTAAAGTGCCAGCCTTGAGCAAAAAAACTAAGGGACAGTATCTAGGCCCTGAGTTCAAGCCCAAGTTCTGGCATATGCACATGTATACACAAACATACAAGAAACAACTTTGTTGAGGTATAGTTAATATACAATGAATTGAACATATTTAAAGGGTAAAACTTAATCATTCTTTTCTTTCTTTCTTTTTTCTTTTCTTTCTTTCTTTTTTCATTTCTTTCTTTCTCTCTCTCTTTCTTTCTTTCTTTTTTTGTTGGTTGTGGGGTCTGAACTCTGGGCCTGGGCACTGTCCCTCAGCTCTTCAGCTCAAGGCGAATGCTCTACTACTTGAGCCACAGCACTATTGGTTTTCTGGTGGTTTATTGGAGACAAGAGTCTCATGGACTTTCCTGCCTGAGCTGTCATCCTCAGATCTCAGCCTTCTGAGTAGCTAGGATTGCAGGCATAAGCTACCGGTGCCCAATTTTTATTTTATCCTCAAGACCATCCTTTGAAATAACTATTTGTGAAAAGAAATGAGCTCCGACAGGTTAATGGACTTACTTACCTAAGGTCACAGACCCTAAAAGCTTTGTCAGTCCAGTTTTCCTTCTGTCCACTAAGGCTGCCTGGATGCAGGTGGTTGTAGATTAGGATAGATTCTCTCCTAGTTTCTCTGGTTTCAAGGTCCAGTGAGCTGAAATGAATAGTAAAGGTAAAGACAGACTCTCAGTGGGGTCTGAAAGACCACACCCTGGCTCGTCCACAAGTGGCCACCTCTTTGTTTTGCAGACCTGCACCAAGCCAATAGCTCTCCACTGCTCAGGGGCAGCCACCCCATGGAGCTCTGGGGCTGGGAAATGGGAAATAGAGCCACCAAGAACCGTTCCGAAAGCCCAGGTGAGAGGGGGTGTTTGAGGGGGAATTGGGGTGGGGAAGCAGCCCACCGAGTATATCAGCCCAGGCTCCTTTTCATGGCTTGGTCCTTTGGTATCTGTGAGACTGGGGGTGGGGTTGGGGGCTGAGAGCCCTTCTCAGGCTCTGGCTTTTGATCTTTAGGAGCTGTACCCCGAGCTGTGGTTGCCTGGCGGGCGCTGGGACCACAGCTCCTCCGCAACTCCAATGAGCTGGCATCCCGCCCGCTCCCTCCAGTACCCATTTCTGCTGGAATCCTCCCTCAGAGTCCACAGACGCAGTAAGAGGGCATCGGGTCAGGAAGCAGGGCTGGTATATGTAGGTGGCAAGGGGGAGCGTGCGAGCTGGGAGCACTCAGTCTTCCTACCATCCCTCTCTTCCCCCAACCAGGCACTTGGTGGAGCCCCAGGCTCCCTCCTCCGACCCGCTGCCAGCAGACCCACTCTCGGTTGTTAGCCCCTGCAGGCCTCCCAGCCTCCAGGCCTCATCCCTGTCTGGTCCCAGCCCAGCTTCTAGCCGCCTATCCAGCTCTTCACTGTCTTCCCTGGGAGAGGATCAGGACAGTGTGCTGACCCCGGAGGAGGTGGCGCTGTGCCTGGAACTCAGCGAGGGTGAGGAGACCCCCAGGTGAGTAATCTAAGTAAGCCAAAGATCTCTATGGGGGTACGCGTGCCTACCTCATTGGGCCTGTTTCTGCTACTGTGCCCTCACCATTGCACTGTTTCCAAAATTGCCTCTTCCAGGAACAGTGTCTCTCCGATGCCAAGGGCCCCGTCACCTCCCACAACTTATGGGTACATCAGTATCCCAGCAGCCTCCGGGCTAGCAGACATGAGCAGAGCTGGAAGGGGAGTCGGGTCTGAGGTGGGGGGCTTGTTGTGCCCACCTCGGCCCTGCCCCACCCCCACCCCCAGTGAAGGCTCCCTGGCCAACGGTTGGGGCTCAGCCTCTGAAGACAACGTTCCCAGTGCCAGAGCCAGCCTGGTCAGCTCTTCCGATGGCTCCTTCCTTGCTGATGCCCACTTTGCCCGTGCCCTGGCAGTGGCTGTAGACAGCTTTGGGTTTGGTCTGGAGCCCAGGGAGGCAGACTGTGTCTTCACTGGTATGTGGAATCACCCCATCATACTTCTGACCTTTACCCCCTCAGTATGGACACAGCTCCCATAACACACACACACACACACACACACACTCTCTCTCTCTCTCATTCATTCTAGCCAAGAGGCTTGGTTTCTTAATTGTTATTATCATCCTCATGACCATCAAAATAGCTAGTTTGTATTGAATGATAAATGAGTCCAACCATGAGAAATGCTCTATATGTTAACAACCCTGAGTGAGAAATACTCTTTGGGGGGGGCAGGGGGGGGGGGGATGGGGGGAGTCATGGAGCTTGAACTAAAGGCTCAAAGCCTGGATGCTGTCCCTGAACTCTTTTGCTCAAGGCTAGCACTCTACTCCTTTGAACCACAGCTCCATGTCCAGTTTTCTGGTGGTTAATTGGAGATAAGAGTCTCACAGACTTTCCTGCCTAGGCTGGCTTTGAACCACAATCTCAGATCTCAGCCTCCGTGAGTAGCTAGGATAACAGACTTGAGTCACCAGTGCCTGGTTCTGAGGAATATTTTTTATCCCTCCTTTTCAGATTAGATAACTATAAAGTAAGTTTATTAACTTGCCAAGGATCACCCACAGAACAAAGACAAATTGTACAATTCTAAAGCAGGGATGTAATCCGTTGTATAGCCTATTCCTCTACCTGTTACCTAGACATGGGTCCCAGGGAAGGCCACCCTCAGCCTCTCCATTTTTTCCTAATCCAGTGATGTATGTGACTCTGCTCCTTCTGCTCATCCTGTCCATGGAGGGAGATTGAAGAGTACCTGGGTCCATTATCAGGCCTCATTGTCCCCTTTTGGATTCCCTTCCCCCAATAACCTGCAGATCTCCCATATTCATCTTACCCTGACTCTACTCTTTGCCCACAAGGAAAACAATAAGGCTTAGAGCAAATGAGGGGACAAGGACTGTCCAGGAAAGAAGGACCTATAACGGACAGAGAAGAATGCCAAGAAACAGGAGTGTTTGGAATAGAGGCCAGAGCTGGGCTGGGAGGAGATAAGTCAAGCTTTTCTCTGTAATGAAACCCGTGGACAGCCAGAGGATATAGCCACTGGGACTGGTGGGCTATATTATAGTTTATATAGATTATATAACTATAGATTATAGTTAGGGTTGTATGTGTACCCAAGTTGGTCCTGAGCTTTCTGCTAAAAGTCAAAACCCCCACGGACACCTCTTCCTTCCTTGACAGATGCCTCCTCACCGCCCTCCCCACGGGATGACCTCTTCCTGACCCAGAGCCTCTCCCTACCCCTATGGGAGTGGAGGCCAGACTGGCTGGAAGATGCTGAGATCAACCATACCCAGCGACTGGAAAGGGGGCTGCCTCCTTGGCCTCCTGACTCTGGGGTCTCTGCCCAGAGAAGTCGGCTCAGTGGTGCAATGCCCAAGGCTGGTAGTGAGTGTCTCTCTGCTTGGCTAACATGACAATCTTCATCTGGGGGGATCCTGGGGAGACAGCCTCAGAAAGGATTGGGGTTTGGCAGGGAAGATGGGAGCAAGGGGATAACTCCACTGTCCTTCAACTTCTCCAGATTCCTCGTGAACTGTGTCCCTAAAGACTGCCAGAAAAGCCTGAGGACCGCCCTTCCTGTCCTCCCGCAAGGCCTGGCCTACGCCTCTCTGCTGTAGGGGTCTACCTTCTCCGAGCTTCAGGGGAACTCTGCTGCTGGGTTGTCCAAACAAATGACAGCAAACCACAACAAGAGCAAGGCAAACCCTGCGGGAGCAAGGAAGCATCTCACTGGACTCTTAGGACTCTCTCCAGCCCTTCTCACTGCCAGGACCTTTAACCTAAGAACAGCTCTGCTTCCTGCTCTCTCCATGTGTGTTGTTCTAAGGAAAATGAGGGGAGGTCAGAAGAATCTTTGTGGAGGACCATGGTAGCAATGGGACAGGGCCATGGAGGAAAGTGCTTCTCTCCTGATACACAACATAAAGAAAATAAAGCGTGATGCCAGGCCCTACCCACCTAGTGCCAAGGCCTAGAGTTCAATGTTAGGCCTGGGGAGGAGGCTGAAGGGAGGTTTGACAGTGGGGCAAAAGTACTCCTCCCGATGTTACTTTGAGCTTAAGGAACTTGATACTATAAAACTGTCAAGACTTGAGTTCTGTCAATCATTCGTTGGAGCACCATTTTGGGAAGTACACTTGGGAAGGGTATCAGGATACCTGGGTTAAGGATGGATCAAGCATTTGTTGATATTCAGGAAGTATCCTCATTTCTGAAGGGAGAATGAAGAGTACTCACTAGTTTTTAGGTAGACTCAGGGAAATGGGGGAGTTTCTGGGTTGGCTGATCCTGGCAATAATACCTGAAGAGACAGCTCCTGCTTTCCGCAGCCCTACACTCCAGACCAGTCCCTGATGGTTTCTTAAAAATAGATAAGGTACCTATATTGAACAACAGGTAGAAACACCTGCAGTGGTGGGCTACTGAATCGTCTTCAGACAAAACAACAGAGCAGAGATATAGAGAGATGAACTAAAGGACAGGACTTCCAGGATTCGAGCTTCTGAAAGCCATTGGTGGGGGAGCAAAACCCTCAAGTTGGGGGAACATGACCAGAGTCACAGGGAGGTACTTCTAGGAGGGAGAGAGGGGTTAAAAAGCAGGCTGTATAAGTATGTGCTAGTCCCCCAAACCCAGCAGCTTTACCTGGAGTGCACTCTAAAGTCAGAGGCTGAATGGGTGTGACCTAGTGCTGGGGTCTGCAAGCCAGTAGTCTGCGTTGGACTGTCGTGATCTTGGGAGAAGGAACTAGTGCTCCGGATGTGTATCCGTTTCCATTTGCTTTTCCTGTTTTGGATTTTGTTTTTTTAACTTCCTGGTAAAATTCCTTTCAAAAACATTCCAACCCTATTTGCCAGCCTGAAGGGAGACAAGGGATTTGCAGGCATTCAAGTCAACTGGACAGAGCCAAAGTCAGGGCTGGGGCTTGAAGGGAATCAGCAATACCTGCCTGAGGGTCCAAGTCAGTCACTGGGCTCTGAGAGGAGCAGGTGCAAAGGAAGTAAGACCCCAGGCAGCGAACATGTAGCCCACCTATGGGGCAGAAGTGATGCTGTCTGTGGCATTCATAGGTTTTAATGTACCAACCAAATCTCTGCACCCAATCTGGCCAAGAGGTGCCTGTTTATAGATACTCTGTGAGAAGATTGAGGGGTACAGAGAAATATGCTTACTTCTTGCTTGGGATCCTCCCTCCCCATATGCACCTCCTTTCTTTGGGGTTTTAAAGCTTCTTATTGTGAGGGGTATGTTCTTACAGAAAAGTAGATACCCTGGAGGCGACACTACAGTATCAGCTCATTGGCTATTTGGAAAGTCCCTAGAGTTGTTATAGGGGTTGTGGTTTGAGTATGAAGTGCTCCCCCAAATGGCCCAAGTATTGGCTTCTTCCTCAACCGCTGGCAAAATTGAGAGGTGATTGGATTAGGAGGGTATTATGTCATCACTGGGTTATCAGGAAGTGGGGCCTGATTGAACAAAGTAGGATAGAATGGGGCATGTCTTTAAGGATAGATCTTGGCCTGCCCTCTTCTTGATTCTGGCTGCCATGAGGTGGGCAGCAGTGCTCCACCATATCCTCTCCCCCACAGCCAAGAAGCAAAAGATCCTGTTGACAACTGGCTGAAATTAATTATTCCTCCCTTAAGTTGCTGGCATTGGGTAACTTGTTTCAATGATACATGGGGGGACAGTGACTTCAGCTCCTTGAACGCAAGATCGATCAGCATCTCTAATAGCCTTCCTTACCTAGTGCTTTTGATAGACTTTCAGAAGGTCATAGAAGCTACCAAGAGATCCTCATAGTCCCTTTCTTTCCAAAATACTGCACAAAATAGATCAGATCTTTTTATTACTTTTGTACAAATGGGTTTCTATCAGAAAAAGAAATGGAAAAGGAAGAACTGGCTCTCTAGCTTCCAAGTCAATTGAAGCCACAGAGTCCAGTGAACTTGACTGAGCCACATGCATCATTGCTAAAGGGAAAACAGCCCCGTCTCAGCTCCTCTAGGCTCACACCCTTGTTTCTGAAGGGAGGTGGGGGGTTCCCACCCATTCCCTCATAGAACTCTTGATATTTTTTTTTTCATCAAGGGTCATCTTGAACAAGGGTCATCTTGGTTCCTACAGAGAAAGGGAGAAGAGTGAGCAAGAGGGAAAGAGAAAAGAAAGCATGGTCATTTTGGGGTAACAGGCCACAGTAAGGGATCTGTCTTTCTCCTAATCTAGTCTCCTATGGGGTTCCCAGGCTCTCCTCTTAGATCCCATCTTGCCCTTCCCCCTTGTCCCTTCTTAAAGATCCTTCTCTCTCCCTACTCATTGAAGGTTTTCTCGCTTCTTCTCTGAAGGTACTAGATTCAGCGTTTTACATCTATTTGCTAGGCAAGTGTTCGGTCACTTGAGTCACATCTCTAGGCCTTTAGCTTTTAGTTTTTCAGAGAGTGTCTTGTGCTAACTTTTCCTCAGTTTAGTCTTGCTTCCTCTTTCCAGGTAGCTGGGATTCTGAGTGTGATACCACACAGGTTGTTTTTTGGGGGTTGTTGTTTTTTTCTGGAGTACTAGAGAGTAAACCCAGAGCCTCACATTTGCCCCACTGGTGCCCTACCACTTCAGCTATGCTCTCAATCTTTTGCCAGTCCTGGACTTTGAACTCAGGGCCTGGGTACTATCCTTAAGCTTCTTTTGCTCAAGGCTAGCACTCTACCACTTGAGTCCTAGCTCCGCTTGTGGCTTTTTCTGTGTATGTGGTACTGAAGAATCAAACCCAGGGCTTCATGCATGCGAAGCAAGCACTCTACCGCTAAGCCACATTCCCAACCCCTCAATCCTTTTTTTCTGCTTTAGTTATTTATCAGGCTGAGTTTTATGTTTTTGCCAAGACTGTCTTTTTTTTTTTTTTTTTTTTTTGTCGGTCGTGGGGCTTGAACTCTGGGCCTGGGCGCTGTCCCTCAGCTCTTCAGCTCAAGGCGAGCGCTCTACCACTTGAGCTACAGCGCCACTTCCGGTTTTCTGGTGGTTTATTGGAGATAAGAGTCTCACGGTCTCTCCTGCCCGGGCTGGCTTTGAACCACGATCCTCAGATCTCAGCCTCCTGAGTAGCTAGGATTACAGGCGTGAGCCACCAGCGCCCGGCTGCCAAGACTGTCTTTGAACCATGGATCCTCCTACCTATCTATACCTCTTAACTACCTGAGATCACAAATGTGAACCACATGGGGTTTTGCTAACTTTTTGCCGAGGCTGGCTTTTAACCTTGATCCTCCGATCTCTACCTCATGAATAGCTAGGCTTATATGACACTGGCATACCTAGCCCTGGAACCTTCCTTTGAAGCCCTTTCCTCTCTAACCCTCATTGTTCATTTCTCTGTGATATTTGGCCCCCACCTCTCGATGTTTCTGTCTGGGCCTTTGGCTCTGACTCCGACTCCGGCTCCGACTTCGTCCAGGACCCCGGGATCCCCGAGAGCTGCCTGAGCCCCTGGAAGAGTTGCTGCCAGCTGTGGAACAGGTGCTGGTCCCCTGGCCATGGGTTAGGAAATTCGGTCTGCCATATGGAAGCCAGGCCTCTTCTGCAGATGACAGAGAAAGACAGCTAGGCTGGAGCAAGAAAGATTCTTCTCAGCCAGTGATCATCATAACCTGTATCCCAGCTCTGAGAGATGACCAAGGGGCAGGCACTGGGCTCCGGCAGACTGGGAGCTCAAGAGAGCAGAGCACCCAGCGCCTAGCTTTGACATAACAGAGGCTCAGAAATGTGTGGGAAACTCTTAGGCAGAGAGAGCCTTAAGGAAGCGGGATCAGAGCACCCGGATCCCACTCTCTCATCCTGGGCTTCAGTCCTAGGAAAGGACACATGTTAAGGCCTTCAGAAACTTCTTCTAGGAGAGAGGAAGAGAGAAAAGACAGTCTTTGACATTGACCGAATGCATAAACCCAACTGGACTTCTAATCGCCTGTCCTTACCTAGTACTTTGGATAGAATAACCCATGTGGGTTACTGCCAGCCTCCAATCCCCCTCCTGCTGCCCTGGTGCTCCTTACCATCCAGGTGGGGCCCCCGCTGGGCACTCAGAGGCACTGCCTGGCCCACGTTCCTCTCCCCTGTGTGCTCCCGCTCCAGGGAGGATGTGCTGCCCGTTGCTTTCAGCCCCAAGGCCCAGCTTGCCTCTTCCTCTGGTGGTGGCAGGGGTGGTGGAGGCAAGTCTGGGGAGAAACCTGTTTTCAGCAGTCTCCTGCCTTGCCCAACACTAATCTCTCTCCCACCTCCAGCCCTGACGCCAGGAGGCTGCAAATGAATCACCCAGGATTTGAGATCACCTGCTCCAGCCCCCTTGGTTTCCAGTCTACCCCCTCTACGGACTGTCATCATCTCCTAAGCCCAAGTCCTCTTTACCCCCAGGACTGTGCTCCGTCCTATAGGGAAGAGCCTTGGGTTTCTTCCGGACTCTGGCACGGGGCCCTTGGAGTGGGGGAGTCATCTCCCCAGGCACCTGCCGTGTTCTCCCTGTAGTGTTGGATGGAGAGAGCATACATAAGGAAGGCAGTTGGGAGAGGGACATGAAGGTGAGGGGAAGCCACGCTTTGGAAGCCACGGAGGGAGGAGAACGCATGTTGAGGGTCTACAGACTCACCTGGAGCACTGCTGGCTGGACTGGGGACAGGGCTGGGGTTGAGGTGGTAGGAGGCTGTGGGTCCTGCAACCAAGCCAGGAGCTCTCCCTTCATGGTTACTCAGAGCAGGCTGGGACACACTGAGAGGAGAACTTGGCCCAAGGGGCACCATCCTGCAATGACACGGAGCATCAGCCTTTGTTCCCACTACAAAACCATATGCCAGGCACTTTGCTGGAGGCCCAGCCTAATCCTCAGGTGAGCAAAACACAGACTGTCTCCCGCAAGGCCTTCCAGAACAAAGGAAGCGTGAGG